ACTGCAGCCTGGGTAGTAGAAAGGGTACGTTATCCTGGAGCTAGATCGCACCTGCCCTCTTCCTTCCCCTGCGTTTCGACTTGATTACTTCCTTCAGATATCTTAATCATGATGCATAGTACTTCTCATTACTATTTCCCCACTTTTTCAGGTAGTCTATCAGCATAGAAAAAAAAAATCAGAAGCCATCACCTTGCCAACAGACGCTACCTGCTTTAAGTTCTTCGTGGGTGGAGAGCCGGAGAGTTTCGACTGTTTTCTTTGAATCAAATGGTGAATCCAGGTTGCGGTGGAAATTCTGAGGGTCAGTCTGAAAGCTAGTAGAAGTGTTCTGGAAATGTCAACACTTTTCAGCTCCGACTCTGATGTCAGCAATCTCGTAACCCCAAGCAGACAGCTTGCTCATCCCCAAGATCCCAGTTAAAACACTATGGAGCGAACCAGAACTAATGCCTATGGACTTGACTGTCTATCCGTAAGACGTCTGTCATCCAAAACCATACGGTGAATGACATCAACTTGTTTATTATTGGTTGGGATTTTTCGGACGGTCTGACCAGCGGTCATCTTCTGTTCAGTCCCTGCCTCGACTGAATTCTGCAGCCCTCAGCAAGTTTATTTTTATTTTTATTTTTTGTGCTTCTTGATTCCTTGGGTAACATGGGGCCGCAACAAAACCTCTCCAACGCACGCGGTTCCGGGCGATCTTCTTCAGCTCGGCCCATTGTCATTAGCAAGTGTCTGTATATTGAATGGATATATATGTTTGTGTCGTGGATATATATGTGTTTGCGGAAAAGTGTAAACTTAAGTCTCCCGACCTGTGCACTATAGTATCATGATAACTTAAATGTGACAATCTTTAAGCCTTGCAAACTTTAAACCACTCAGGTACGTAAAGCACGGAATGCATACTTTAATTAAGACTCTCGAATACACACACCGCTTGGCATAAATAAACCTTTTAAAGACCGGGAGATATACCTCTATTCAACAATTAAATATAATGGTTAAATAAGAAATAATCAGATTATAAATAAAATCCATTAACTCCTTAGAAATTAGCAAAGCATTTAGTGATGTACAGAGGATAGTCTGACTGATTCCTATTTTACGGCTTATCAATCTTTTGCAGGCTTTTAAAGCCAGAACTTATTTTAGATTTTATGTTTTTTTTTCTTTGAAATAATAATGATTTACTGATACAAGTCCTACTAATTAACCCATAGCTAGGGGGAGAAGAGATGGATTCATACCTTTCCAATGATTTTTGCGCGTAAGTGAATATAACCGACTGGGATTGAAAGTCGGCATTTCGATTTCCAATTCCGACCCGTTATCCATTACACCACGCGCACATATATGCTTATGGTACTTAGTACCCTCAGACGATCACCCATCTAGGGACTGACCCGGCTCATAAAAGATTAAATTAAACTATTTTTTAAAATTATTGATGTTATATAGGAATAAAGTTTCGCTGCCGACACTTGGGTTTGAACATAGATTGACAGACAGAAAACACATGCGATCCCATTATTGAATTAAGTGGACCACGTGACCACAGAGAAAATACATATATAGGACTTAGCGTGTGTCTAATTGATCTCCATTTCTAGTCTATCCTCTATTACTCTACGGATCGCCATTTCTAGTCTATCCTCTATAGCTATTTTTTACTATATTCATTATACTATTCCTCCATTCAGATCACTATACGGATTATAATTCGAGCGAGTATTATCGAGCAAGTACTATTAGTGCGAGTGTTATTCGAAGGCGTCTGCCACCAGCATTGTTCAACAGCGTACCTATAGTTGTAACTGCGATTATAAAGTCTCAACTACAACGAGCATTACGAAAGTGACAACGAGTATTCGTTGACATTACAAATGTGACAACAAGTATTCGTCGATATCACAAAAATTGGTTATTAGCAGATCATTTTTAGTACGCATTTTTAGATATAGAAGATTGATAAACATGTGATCTTTCTACATGAATTTCAGCCATATTTTTAGAATCCTGCAACCCCTTTCACCTCGAGCATTGTTAGCTTCTATCTATCTATCTATCTATCTATCTATCTATCTATCTATCTAACTCGACTACTATGGGAAATGTTCAAACGAGTTACATTTCTCCAAACAACCAAACCAGACCTTCAACACCAGAGCCCGTCATGTCATCCTTCTTCTTTTATGTGCCGTTTCTTTTCAGTATGTAGGCGATCTTGGGCCTCCCACTTCTCTTGTCCCTTGTCGCTCTTAATTAAGTTTTGTCTTTTTGTTATTTCTCCCAGACCCTGATCCGTCATCCACTTGCTCAAGTCCATTAAGTATGTCACGCGTTGCTTTCACCTGTCTTTCTTACCCTCTACCCATCCTGTGAGTATCAGATTTTCCAAGCCCTCCTTTCTCATTACGTGTCCGTAACAGCTCAGTATTCTTTCCTTTTCTTTTCTTATCATTGTTATTATTAAAATAATTATCTATTTTTTGTAGATTTTGTAAAGCCATTCTCTTAACGTTGTTGATGAAATAATGAGGTTGTTGGAGGTTTGTAAAGGTGTTTTATATGTAGAATTATTCTTCTGGTAAATATTGGGGGCTGCAGATTTTTAGTGCTCTTAAATAAAATCCTATAATTATTTCATATTTTATCCTGCTGCAGAGATGAAAATGAGAGTTTATTAGCTCATTCTTGTTGATAACATTTCTGTAGACTTGTAATTGAATATGATTATTGGTTCTGTGTAACCTAAACGTATCGGAAGATTAAAATAACAAGAATTAAGAAGACAGAAGATAACGATTGACTAGGAAGCAAGAAGCAGTAAAAGAATTTCACAAACGAGAAGTGCGATAGAAGAAACTATTACCATAGAATTTACGGTTACATCTAGCCATTTTAATCTAGTACTACACTTAAATTCATATAGTCTAAATTCATACCGTCGAGGAAAGTTCATCCGAACAACTACCATGAAAGTTACGGTGGTGAGAAAGCGACTGAAACCGAGATGTCAGTTCAGGACCAATAGTATTGCAGGTTCTGCATGGGATTTCTATTAAGAATCTTTAAATATATAGTAATAGCACAAGATCAGATTTGGCATCAATATTCAAAGCAAGGACGAATTGTAGACTTGTAAGATAGATTCTGGCGAAACAAATTCTTATACGAAAGGATGAACGAACATTTATAGTTGCAGACTTAGCGGAAAACGTTAGTTCGAGAAGGCGCAAAGAGTCACTCACCTGGAGATTAGCATCAAGTTGTAAAGGAAACCAATATGCCAACCCCTGTCAAATGCCTTCGAGATATCCAAAGCAACAAGCTGAACTTCATCATTCTTATCTAAATCTTTGTAGACTCTCAATAATTGTTATCACATCAGCAGTTAACCTAGATAAGCGAAAGCCATATTGCTTATTTGAAAAAAGACCCTGCGAGATGTGCTGTTTACCCAATTCAGTGTTAATTATGACCTTAGTACTTTTCCAAAAAGAAGTAGAAAGTTAATAGACAGATAATTAGAAGGTTCAGGTGGTTCGCTTGAGTTCTTAAAGACTGGATCTACAAAAAAGGAATCCAAATCAAGCAGGAAAGCAAGAAGCAGCAAGTCGTTTATTGTAGAGTTTAGAGAGAACAGGAGCCAGTTCAGGAGTACATTTGTAAGGATCCAATTTAGAGATTATAGCTGAAACCATGGACAGAGTTATATGCGTATCACTCAAAAGTTATATTGAGTGATATGTGACCCAGTTCTAAGTGGAGTGTCAAACAAGGAGATATTCCAGATGAGTCAAGCGCAAAATTGGAAGCGAATTTACTAGCAAAGCATTCTGCTTTATCAGAAGATGATCAAAGAGAGGAGGGATTTTTTCTCAGATTTTCTAACATCCAATATCTTCTTGCGTTTTGTGGCTTTATTGCCTTGTTGCAATTGAAATGATTAAAAAAATAGCCAGCAAATCATTACGTCCTACAGAAAAGTTGTCTTATTCAGATTAGTTTAGTTTTATGCATTCAATTAGTATCGAACTCAGTAGTCAAGATCAACTAAATCAGCTTTATCACACCATGTTCAAGCCCCCAGAAAATAGGACAATGAAACTATATTTTAATAGGAGTGAACGTATGTACTATATCGTCTTTCAGAAGGGCGTAATGTTTTTAACAATAAAAGTTCTACAGATGATAAGGAATCAGTTGAATAATAATAATAATAATAATAATAATAATAATAATTGTTATAAACAGCACCTAGAACCGGTTACAGAGATAGAACCTGTAACAATTTTATGGGATTCCGCAATACACAGAAAAAACTAATCGCCTAGACAGTGTTATCAGAGACCGCAAACAAAAAAAGAAAAAAAAAAGCCTCCATATTGATATGGCTGTCCCTCCAGACTGCAAGGTATTTTTGAAGTTCATCAAAAAGCTATCAAAATACAAGGACCTTGAAATCGAAATCTCAAAAATGTGGCACATGGGAACATCAACAATCCCTGTTGTTGTTGGAGCCTTCGGATTGACGGGAAAAGATTCCAACAGACTCATTGAAAGAATCTTTGGTAGTACGTGCCTTAAAGAAATACAAAAAATTCTTCTCACGAGTAAAGCCCACACCTTACGAACGACTTTATCTATGTAAAATATGTTTTTTTGTTTGTTTGTTTGTTTGTTTTTTTAATTGGTCAGCGGAAAATGTCATGATGCCATTGCTGAACTTAGGTCTTAGGAAAGAAATGAGTACACACCAGAAGCCAAAGGAAATAATAATAATAATAATAATAATAATAATAATAATAATAACATCAGGTCATCCCATAAGTTCTGTTCGAATTTTGAATAAAGAAAACAAGTGACCAAATGTTACATTTAATTACAGATTCAATCAACAATGTATTTTCCCTGATTATCTATGACTTCCTTCCATCTATTAACAAACTTACTAATTCCATTACTGTAAAATTCTTTTGGCTTTGATTCGAAGAACTCACAAATGTCAGTTTTAACCTCTTCCTGTGTTACAAAAGCTGTTTCTTCCAAATGATTCTGTAAGCTACGAAACAAATGGTAGTCTGAAGGAGCAAGATCGAGAGAATAAGGTGGATGAGGAATTTTCTTCCTTCGCCCATTTGTGACGTGATTCTTGCTGTGTGGGGTCACGCATTGTCCTGATGAAACATCACTTCTTTCCGATTCCCTAGAGCAGGTCTTTTTTTCCTCAAAACTTGGTTCGAACGCTCTAATTGCTGACAGTATATTTGAGCATTAATTGTTGCATTAGGTGGTAAGAATTCAAAGTGGATTATTCCTTGGCGATCTCACCAGATTGAAAGAACCTTTTGCCCATGAAGTTCCCTTCTCGACTGTGGCTGGGGTCCTTCCCCTTTACCAAGCCACTGTCTACGACGCTTAACATTTCAATAAAAGATCCATTTTTCGTCGCCAGTCACAAGTCTATCCAAAAAAAGGTGAGACAAATTGGCTAGAATGGAGAGAAGAGCAGATGTCAACTCGGGATGTGAGGTTGTTTTCAGACAATTCATGAGGCACCCATTTTCCAAGTTTAGGAACTTTTCCAAGTTGTTTAAGATGACGATGAACAGTTGTATAGTTTGAACTGAGAACCACTGCCAATTCCTGAACTGATAAAGCAGGATTTTCTTCAAGGGTTGCTTCAAGAAGCTTTTCACCAAACTCAACTGGACGTCCGGTTCGATCTTCATTTTCAAGGGTGAAATCTCCACCTCTGAATTTTGCAAACCATCTTCTGCAAGTTCTTTCATTCACACATTCCTCTCCATAAACTGAGTGAATATTTCTAGCCGCTTCGTCTGCTGAGTTTCCTTTCTTGAATTCATAAAGCATTGTGTGCCTCAAATGATTCTTGGGTACTTTCATGTTAGCAGGGTTTTAATCAAACAAAATTTAATTTTATTGTTTTCTGAAATAAAATTTGATCAGTTTAAATGCATCTAGACATAAAAATAATGTTCGTTCATTTTAACAAAAAGTTTAAATTCGGACAGAACTTATGGGATGACCTGATAATAATAATAATAATAATAATAATAATAATAATAATAATAATTTGCTAACTAGAAATTACCAAGCACACATACTTAAAAATTGTGTTAGTCCTAAATACAGATTCTGTGGTAAATATCCAGTAACATTTGAACATCTTGGATCACTTTGTACGGTATTGGCAACCACTGAATATAAAACTCGGCATGACAGAATGGGCCAATATCTGAGCTGGAAAATCTGCTACACTTACGTAAAAGAAACTACAAGAAATGAACACCTCCTCCCAGACCCAGTTACGGAGATAGGACCAGTAACAATTTTATGGGACTTTACAATGTACACAGATAGAACAATCAAATCTAATCGCCCAGACATCGTGATTAGAGATCGCAAAGACGAAATGTGCCTCTTTATTGATATGGCAGTCACTGCAGACTGCAATGGATCTTTAAAAAACTATCAAATTACAATGATGTTGAAATCGAAATTTTCAAAAATGTTGCGCATGAGGACTTTAATAATACCAGTTGTAGTTGGAGCCCTCGGATTGATTAGAAATGATTCCAGTAGACTCAGTGAAGGAATCCCTGGTAGCCCATGCCTTAAAGAAATGCAAAAAAAAAATGTACTCACGAGTACATCTCAAACCTCACGAAGGGCTTTAGCTATGTAAAATATGTTCGATTTTCTTTTCCAAACTGCTCAGTGAAAAATGTCATGATGCCATTTCTGACCTTAGGTCTCTGGGTGGGACCCGGAAAGAAATGAGTACACATCAGACCTCAAAGGAAATAAAATAATAATAATAATAAAGTAAATCTCACGACGCCTTGACTGATGCATTCTTCAAACGTAAAAAGAAACAATCACCTCGATCATGATTCTCGTTCAGAACAGAGACACAAAGTAAATCAACCTCCAGGGGTTATGATCAACGAGTTATGGCCAGGAAACTGACAAGCATTTCTATGCTACTGAACGGGATATTTATTATTGCGTAACTTAGTCTACTAATCAAATCACAGTGAAAACTCCGATCAATTAATATTAGAAGCATTCCGATGCATGTTTATATATATATATATATATATATATATATATATATATATATATATATACTAAAAGAAGAGAGATACCGCAAACGTTTTTGGTTGTAATGTGGATTTAAAAAAATATATATATATTATGCTTCATTTTCCATAATTTTCCATAATGTTACTACATGTGTTTCTGGTCGTGTGTGTATGTACTGATTCCTTGTGGTGGGATGGTGTGTGTGGGGGGGGTGTATATGTGTATGTGTACAAATGTGTTTTCTAATTCCTCGTAGTGAGACAGTGTGTATATATGGAGAGGGAATATATACATATATACACGGATGCTGACAGAAACACACGAAAATGAAAACAGATCTAAGAACACACAGGGGTCATTAAAACAATAAAAAATAAGATACCGATAACTAATTCATCATTTCTCTCGGACCAATCTTAATTGTTTTATCTTAAATGTTTTTGTGACACTAGCACGCAAGGGGTTACAGAAAGTGAGACCAAGAGTAAAGAGTCTAGGGGGGTGTTTGAGGAAAGGATATAGAGAAAGACGGGGATCAGGATTAAGGCATCAGAAAATGTCGATTGACATTACATTTGAATATTTGAGGATTATAGTTATCAGTGAAGCAAGTAGGAGGATGGGAGTTCCACTGGCGGGAAGTGCGAGAGGTGAAGCTGTTGGATTAGAAGAGGTGGTTGCATTTAACTGCTTCGACAGTGAAAAGGTGAGATCTGGATGCCAAACTAGTATCACGCTTAAATTCATGCAGTTGGACTACAAGTGAAAGTAGCTCGTCAGATCAGTTGTGATGAAAATATCAGTAGAAAAGACAGAGGGAAACCATATCACGTCTGTGAGAAATTGACTGTAGACGAGATGCCAGATCAGGACCTATCACATTGCATATCCTTCTCTGTATTTTTTCTAGGACCTCAAGATAAACAGCGGGAGCGCAAGACCATATATGGCAACAGTATTCAATGCAAGGACGAATGGGAGATTTGTAGATTTGAAAGATGGACTCAGGCGAGAAAAACCTTCTGGCGCGACACAGAGAACCAACTTTCTATCAGGGAAGCAAGTGATAGCAAGGGAGTTCCACTGACGGGAGGTGCGAGATAAGAAGCTGTTGGAGTAGAAGAGAGGGCTACATTTAATCCGTTTCGACAGTGAAAGTGTGGGACCGAGATGCCAACCCGGTAGCACGCTTAAATTCATGCAGCTTGGGAACCAGTGAAAGTAGCTCGTCGGAGCAGTTGCCATGAAAGTACTTGTAGAAAAGACAGAGGGAATCCACAGCAAGTCCGTGAGATAGCGACTGTAGACGGGATGCCAGAACAGGACCAACCACATTGCATATTCGTCTCTGGATTTTGTCGAAGACGTCAAGATGAACAGCGAGAGCTCCAGATCGTATATAGCAGAAGTATTCCATGCAAGGACGACTGGTTGATTTGTAGATTTGAAGGTTGGACTCAGGCGAGAAAAACCTTTCAGCGCAACAAAGAGAACCAACTTTCCTTGCGGTAGATGAAGCTATAGATTCAGTGTAGTTGTTCTACCTCAGGTCAGTGAAAACTTGAGAGCAAGAAGGCACAGAAAGACGTTCTTGTGGAGTTGGGCATCAGCCATTTTGATAGGAGGCAGGGTGGGTTATCTATGGTGGGTAGTTTCGTTTGGGATTTTCTCCTATTTCAATAGAAAATCCATTAGAGCTGACAAAGTAAACGTAGCAGCTGTTCTTGAAAAGGTTCTTCAACCAGTGGTTATGTATATGAGAAATAGCTTGTAAATTTTAACGTCTCCAAAACAAAACTGCTGTAATTTAACCCTCACAGAGAACCTTTTCTGCTTGTCATCAACATGGCCGACGATAGACTCAAGGAGAGTAACACACTGAACCTGTTTGGCCTCACGTTTTCCACTGCCTTCAAGTGGAGCGATTATATCGTCTCAATAGCGGTATCTACTACAAGGAGAGTTTGGATACTGTGACGTACCAGAAAATTCGTCAGAATCCATCTTGCACATTTTCAAATCTAGCATTCGTCCGTATATTGAATGCTGCTGCCATATCTAGTCACGTGCTCCTGCTATTCATATCGAGGTTCTTGACAAGATCCAAAGAAGCATTCATAATATAATGAATCCTGACCAGAAATCTCGACTTTCAGTCACTTTTTCACCGATGTGACGTGGCTCCTCTTTGTCTTTTCTACAAATATTTCCCTGACAGCTGCCCTGATAAGCTTTTTTCACTGATGCCCCGACAGCAGGAATTTAAGCGTGCTACTAGATTGGCAACTAAGTCCCACACTTTTACTGTTGAAATAGCTAAATGCAACCACCACTTCTACTCCAACAGTTTATTTTCTCACACTTCCCACCTGTGGAAGGTACTTAAATTTTCCTTGCTTCCCTGATAACTACAATCGTCAAAGATTTAAATTCAACGTCAATCGCTATGTTCTGTCTACTCGAATCCTGTTCACCTTTTGTCCTTTCCTCAATTTCCCCTATTTTCAGTGGCCTCTTTCACTCTCTGTAAATCCCTGCGTGCTAATGGCATTACAGCCTTGCTTGGGGTGAAATAATTAATTATATACATATATATTTTTTCTACGGGGGACATAACTGAAAATATTACTTGAGGAATATAAAGTGAGCACCATTTTTATATACTTTTTAACTACCCAGTTAAAAATATCTTACATAATATAATGCTTTATTGAATTTTAGATATCTTGGCTTTAAATTTACTATAGTTAACTTATTTTCTGATAATGTGTATTTTAAAACAACGGCAGATTATACATGTACAAAAAAAATCTAAATTCTTTTAATATATTGCTGCTCACAGAATTGTATTTAGTTTTTCCATTTATTATTAGTAAATATAGTTTTTAGTTAATAACATTATCACCTAACCAGCAATTAAGAGGTGGTTCCACGCTCCTCAAAACCTCCTGATCAGAGGCTTTGCTTTTGGACGTAGTTTATCGTCTTACCCAGGAGGCGGATGTAGTTTATCGTCTTACCCAGGACGGACAAAGAAAATTAATGTTTCGAATTCTCCAAAGAGAAGCATAAATCATAAAACTATAAAAATGAATTTCTCTGAATTTAATAAAATTAAATAAAAAGGCGGTATTAGATGAAAAAAAAAAGATTTTCTAAAAAGAAGGAATATTTCTTAGATAATTTCATTCATTTATGAATAAGTTGTGAAAGTTTAATTACAATCCGATAAATCTTGGAATTTTGGAAGAATTTCCAAATCAATGTGATCTTTTACTGCAAAAAAAAAAACGTTAAAAATGTCTATACTAGACTTTGTTCCAACACCACCACCACCACCACCCGCTGTCCCAAGAAAAATAGAGTCATTAAACAAGATTTCGAACGTTCTAAAATGGATATAAAAATATATAATTCAATAATCAAAAAATTACTTGGTCTTTCCTCTTAATAATAGAAAAATGATTTTCACGATAAACTTTGCTTTATTCGGGGCATTTTTTCTTCATGGTATGCTCATTTTATAACAAATCCGTTGAGATGCTTACATTAGGACACTTATTATTATTATTATTATTATTGTTGTTGTTGTTGTTGTTGTTGTTGTTATAAGGCAGAGTAAGTTGCACACAAATCTTGAGACTTCTTTATTTATTATGGATTTTTTTCTGTTTTGCTTAAACATACTGCTCACTGCCTCTGCTTCTTCTTCTTCTTCTTCTTCTTCTTATTATTATTATTATTATTTAGTAGTAGTAGTAGTAGTAGTAGTAGTATGTTGTAAATTAGTCTGAATTACCTGAATGCTTTCTCTTTTGAGGATTTCCCTCTTTCTTCTCTTTCTATACTGCTTTCCACCTCCTCTTCCTTTTCCTTGTTCTTCTTCAAATATTTTCTCTCTTTCGTTGTCTTTACTTTCTCAAAACACCATCTAAGTAGCCACAAACAGAATTTTCAATAACTTGTCACTTCCTGTCGATCTGAGTGTCCATCGAAGCGAAAATGTAACAGAGAGGTCGGGAGAGACACTAAAAGAAAGACAGAAAGACAGAAAGACAGAAATGGATGCGAAATACCTGAACTATTGTTTTAATCGACTTCGTTTCTCCAGTTCTCTTTTCCCTTTCATATACACGAGAGTGTCGGGAAGCCCTCCGCCGCTGGCAAACCAGACAGCTGCTTGCAACAGAACATCTTGGTTCAAGTTTTCTGTCACGTGCTGTCAAAGACAGCGACCCTTTTGTGCAAAACACCCACCATCAGCATCATTTCCGTTGCAACAGCCATCGACACCTTTCTCCCCTGGAGAATATTCTCCATCTTTGAAACACTTTTCCGCCTTCTTCTGCATGAAGCCGTTCCTGTTTTCGTTGATATCCGATTTTAATTCCTTCGCATTCTCTTTTTCCTTCCGCTCCATCTCTCCCAACCCCTCTCTCTCTCTCTCTCTCTCTCTCTCTTTTTCTCTCTCTCTCACTCACTCTCTCTCTTTGTCGGTCTCTTTTCTCCTTCTTTCTTTATTTTATATGACATTCATTATTCATTCACTTTTTCTTTCTCACTACCTTCCCTCTCTCTTCCACTTTTCCACTCTTTCTCTATTTTTCTCGATTTCTCATTGGTTCATTATTCATTCCATTTGTATGTAATTGCTCTTTTTTGATTGGTTCCCAATCTACTTTGATCACCTATTTTATTCAGTTGAGCTACTCCAGGATTATATATATATATATATATATATATATATATATATACAACATAAAACGATAATTTTAAGAGAAATTGATTTGAGGGAACTATTCGGAATCCGGAGAATCTTTGTGACAGAGGGATGGAGTGTACTTGTCTTGATCAACAGATCACACTAAATTTGAGCAATCTCTTATAACAAGTAACAAAGCTCCGCTCAGTTTAGTTTCAATATAAAACACTTGTGTCGCTTGTGTCGCTTGTGAAATGCACTTGAACATGAATTCACAAAAGGCACAAAGCACGGGGTAGGAATAACCATATATATATAGATTATAAAAAAACATCGCTACACAAAAAATTCTATGATTCGGAACTTTGTTCCTCATCAGGCGATGGTGGATAACTTATAAGGTTTTCATCATAAGTTAACCAATATCGCCTGATGAGAAACGATTTTTAAGTTCCGAAACATAGAAATGTTTGTGTAGTGATCTAGAATATTTTTCAATAAAAATATTATATCTGTCCATATTTCTGAGATGAGGTATTATGTACATTATTTACATTATTCGGACTATTTTCCTCATCTTTGTCGCCATATTTATTACAACGTTTCGGCCGTTGTACGCTCCGGCCTTCTTCAGGACAAATGGCACAGTGGATAAAGGCATTGGTTAGATCCAGTGACAGGACCCAAAGAGTGTAATTTCAATTCCCGGTTAAGGCAGTGGAGAACTTTCAGAGGGAAATTAACAGGAGATAACTGATAACTAACATCCATTAAAACATGGCACGTGGAACTAGAACAGTCTATCCCGGTGAGCGAAATAAAGGGTTCAGATTAACATTCCAACCACCTGAAGAAGGTCGGAGCCTACAACGGCCGAAAGTTGTAATAAATATGGCGACAAAGATGAGGACAGTAGTCCGAATAATGTAAAAAATATTATAATAATATTTTGCTCTACGTTGCATAGAGCAATTTTTTTTAAATGTCAGTGCTAAGAACAATGGATTATTAAATCTGTTTTCTTTATATATTATTTATATATATATATATATATATATATATATATATATATATATATATATATATAGATAGAGAGAGAGAGAGAGAAACAACACTTCTGTCAAATTCGACGTATGAGGATCAAGCAGAGCAGCTCCAACGAAGCCGGCAGCCCGACAACAGCACTTGAGATTTGATTATAGTGGTGAAGGTTTCGTGCTGGATCATCCACGCTTTTTGAAGGACCGAATATATATATATATATATATATATATATATATATATATTATTATTTATAAAAAATTATAACATAAGTATGTTATAAAATCACTAAAAAAAACAAAATGGCTATTTTTGTAGTGATTTTATAACATTTTATGTTATAATTTTTTATAAATAATAATTATATCTGCTCTACTTTTGTATTGAGCACTCTTTTAAGAATAGTAATTGTTGTTTATTGGAATTCATTCCGTATATACCAATTATATATATATATATATATATATATATATATATATATATATATATATATATACAGTGTGTCCATAAAATTCGTGTGCATTTTTACCTTATAAATTTTAAAAAATGTACATAAACTTTATGGACACCCTGTATATATTCCGTTTGTATTCAAATTCACCGTAGACCTCAAATGCAGCACATATATAGAATCCTTCGTTAAAGGGCCTGGAAAATGGTCGGATTAGTTCAAGAATGGAATAACGCTGACATATTTGACTTAAAGCCGATCAATTATCACTTTCCAGCCTTGACAGTTCAAAACTGTCTACGAGTTCAGACCATTACAACAGAAAGCCTGCTCTGCCATATACCCAGGAGCGAATTATTCTCATTCCCTTCGTATTTCATTGGCAACAAATAAAGTTATATTCCTGCAGCTTTTTCTCCAAAATTATTACCATGTAGAACAGATCCAAGATACTTTGCTTCCTCAATCATTACAATCTTAACATCTTCAAGACTTGGGTCAACTTGGGTCACTTTCAACAGCCTTTATCTCAAGTGACTATTGGGCCTTGTATTGCTGAACAAGTGTGAACTCGAATCAGAGGATTAAAGAGTAAAAGGCACCAACCCTAGCAAGGTGATAATACCACCAAGACGCAAAGATGTGAACGAGATGGAAAAGACTTTAGAAGGAAACGGTCACCCATCATCCTAAACAGGAAAAAAAAAAGGATAAATCTCTTCAAAAGACCGTGGAGGAGTCTAAACCTGACGATAGGCGAATCTATCTACTGAGTGGTCTGAAAGTTTTGTCACTCCTACATAATATATTTTTCTCTTTCAGATCGCAAAGTACATTTCTCGATGTGTGACAGTGTCAATGAAAGTGAATAAAGTGAATCAAGTACATGTCCTTTGTATTACTGTATTATTTGTGTTTCTCTTGTTTTCATTGATTTTTGGTAGGGGTGACAAGACTTTCGGACCAACCAGTTTTCTGATAAAAAAAAAAGGAAATAAAAATTCAATTCAGTTTTAAACGGGGATTTTAGGAGTATAATGTTAAAGTAGATATTTAGTTACTTTTAAAGGGAACTTTTTTTTATTATGCAAGCGCTAGCATATTTACGTGTGTTTGTGTGTCGAAACCAAATGATTGACACAACAGGTAAGTATCCTGCAGCATTTTTGTCATTTCTGTACAATAATGTTCACGGTCCAAGAGCCATTCGAGGTAGAGGGTTACAGAGTAAGAGGTAAGCGGCAGAGTTGATAAGGGTATGTGGGATAACGATTAACTCGAAACTTGAACATCTGACGAAGTTATAACGCTGATATCATTAATTTAACGTATTTAAAAGAAGTAGCATCTCTGTTAAGACGGAGGCACGGTAGAGTAATGGATAGCGGCTTGAAATGGGGATTTGAAAAGCCAAGTTCGAATTCCAGTCGAATCCATCACATTCACTTTCGTGCTAATACCTTTGTGAAAGGTATGAATCCTCTTCTTCACCCAGCTATGTCGTTATTTTAGAGAAACATATTTGAAGAGGGAATAAGACACGCTTTCCCTACGTAGGTAACTGTTTCACTGATATTATATCAGTCAATTAAGTGCCAAACGTGATACATACTAGGGCCATCATGTGTCTTTCGATGCATTACTGACAAGGGAGATGATTTTCCCGCTGTAGGTTGACATTTCGATAGACGAGTTGCCGACTGACTAGGCAGAAGATGTTTTTCCCGCAGTGGACCAGGTTTCTTCTGCGGTAGATTCGTTTACAGCCAGGGGTAAAGCTAAAGAACCCAATCTGTCCTGCTATTGAACCAGTAACTGAGGTTAGAAGAGATTAATACTAAGTGCGTAAGTAAATATAACGAATTCGATTGGAATTCGAACTCGGCTCTCCAATTCCTCGTCCCACACTGATAAACCTTACACCACGTAGGTGGTTCATGTCTCAAATGTCTCAGTTATATAAATGTATTTTCATCTTTTTTTTTTGTTTTTTTTTCTTTTCTCTTTCTCTCAATCTCACTAAATTTCAAGTCTTCTGTTCAGACCATCTTTTTCCTTTCCTTTCTTTTTTATTCTCTCTTAACATTTCATTCTTTTCTTTCTTTCTATCTGTCTTTTTTCCTTTCCTTTCTTTTTTATTCTCTCTTAACATTGGCTTTTTCGCTTTCATTTGTTCTTTGCTTTTTTACATATTTCTCTTTTTCTCTCTTTCTTTAATTTGGTTTAATATATCAGGTTTCGTTTATTTCATTTCGTTTTCTTTCTTTCTTTCTTTCTTTCTTTCTTTCTTTCTTTCTTTCTTTCTTTTCCTCATTGTCTTCCCTTTCCTATATTTCTTTTCTTCGTTACTTTCCTGTTCTTTCTTTCTTCTTTTTTTCCCTGTTGGCTTTCTTTTTCTTGTTGTCTTCCCATTCCTTTATTTCCCTCTTTTCTTTCCTTTTTTCTTTTCTTTTTTTTCTTTCCTTTTTTCTTTCCTTTTTTTCTTTCTTTCTTATTTGTTACCGATTTCTCTCGAAATTTGATTACTTTCATATTCCCTGTTTCTTTCTTTCTAAATTTGACTTAATATTTTCCTTTATTTCTCAAAACATAATTTATAGTCTCTTCTTTCATTCTTTCTTTCTTTCTATGTCTTTTTTCTTTCTTTCTTATTCATTTTCTTTTTCTCAAATATGATTTTATTATTTTCTTCCGTTTGTTATTTCATTTTCCCGCCAATATAAAATTAATCTATTTTCTTCTTTATTTCTTAGAATATAATTTTAATATTCTTCCTTTTTTTGCCACATCTCTTGAAATATGATCGAATATTTTCTTTCTTTTTTTTCTTTCTTTCTTTCTTTCTTTCTTTCTACATTCATTCTTTCTTGTTTGCTTTCTTTTTTCTTTTCTTATTTCTTTCTTTCTTGCTTTGTTTTTTCTTTTCTTACTTTCTTTCTTCCTTGCTTTCTGTCTTTTTCTTTTCGCGTACATCACATTATTCTTCCTTGTATTTCTTCAGCCAACTCTCTCTTTCTTTCTTTCTTTCTTTCTTTCTTTCTTTCTTTCTTTCTTTCTTTCTTTCTTTCGTTTCCTAGCCACTTTCTACTTTGCCAATTCTTTCCTGTCCTCTTGTTTGTTATATATTTTCAATTTAAATACTTTCTTTCTTTCTTTCTTTCTTTTTTAAATTTTTAATTTTTTCTGCTATTCATTCATTCAGTCTTTCTTTCTTTCTTTCTTTCTTTTCATCTATTTTTGTAACATGATGTAAACTCCTTATTGTTATTTCTTTTTAATACTTTGTTTTTGCCTTGATGGCTTTAAATATTCTTCTCTGTTTAATAAGCCGTCATTTATCCCTTCCCAAAAATATAACTTCAGACCTCTTTTTAATGGTAATTTTGTTTCGTCCCTTTCCCAAAAATTCTTGTTTTTCTTTTTATCAGTTTTTTTTTCGTATTTCTTTGAGTTGTATCATTTGGGATAATATCCTTACCCGCCATCTTTATTTACTGCACTTATCACAACACAAGTTTGGCGGTAGACGATATCAATGACATTGCATAATCTTTCCAAACGAGTCGAGTCTACCTGCTTTAAAAACAAAAAATCATTTAATGACAAGTTTTTAAATGAAATCGAAGCACAAAACCTTTAGCACTTGTTGGAAATGCGAAAATGTTCAATTCCGTCTATTACTTATGAAGCTGTCCACTATATTTTAGAAATTTCCTTCAATTACATTTTTTTTTTTTTTGCAGTTACTTTCTCTGTTGATATTTATTTGGCTACATAGGGGCCATTTTTTTACGAAGAACTTATTGCGCCATTTTGTTTTTATTCTTTTCCCTCTTCTTCTCAATTTAGGCTTTTTCTTTTCTTCGACCTCCCTTCTCACCCTCATTTGTCGTTCACACCTCGCCCTTTTATTTCTTCCCTCTCTTTATATTTCTTTTATCGTTCATTTCTTTTTTTAGTCTCTTCTGTTTCCTCTTTTTCATTCTTTCTCCTCGTTTTTCTTTTATTTCCTCTTTTTCATTCTCCTCTGCCCCTTAGCCGATTTTAATATTTACTCACTAGTCTTACCTTATACACAGCATGGCCAACTAAAAAGGAGAGAAAGATTGTGTAACGCCAATCTTTGAAGATGTAAAATCTTGTCTGTGTAGAAAATCGGTTTGTCACCTTTACGGCATGATTAGCATTTCTGATTTTGTTGGGAAGTTAATCGCGTCATGGCAAACGGTATTCTTAGTATTATTTCATAGATGATGACGATTCTGGGTTTTTTTTTCTCTTTCTACCATTGATGTTTTCAACTCTTTCCTATGTTTTGTTTTTTCCTTGTAATACATTCTTAGTGCACATTTCTTTGTTCACAGCTTTTTTCAAAAAATTGTTTTCCTTGTTGCCTTCTTTCCTTAAGTTCTTCTGTATTCATTTGTTTCTCGCGTTCTGAAAATAGAGATTATAATTGCTTTCTTCTCTTTTTCGCTACTTCCGTTCGTTTTGTTTGGAATTGTTTAACATTTCTTCTTCTTCTTCTTCTTCTTCTTCTTCTTCTTCTTCTTCTTCTTCTTCTATCGTAGTCTGTTTCTTTTATCTAATGTACTCTTCTTTTCTATTATAGACTAATTTATTTTAATTCTCTTTTCATATAACGTACAATTCTACTACTACTACTACTACTACTACTAATAATAATAATAATAATAATAATAATAACGATAAAGATAGCAGTACTTGTTATTGTTTTTCTTTTTCTACTACTAATACTACTACTTCTTGCTCTTTTCATGTATGTTACCCTACTAATTTTTTTCCTTGTATATCCAGCGTGCACTTCTCCATTTCTTCTCCTCCTACTCCTCCTTCTCATTATTATTATTATTATTATTATTCGCCCAATTTATTTTTCTTTCCCTTTCATCTAATGTACATTTCATCTTCGCTTTCCATTTCTTTCTTCTTCTTCTTCTTCTTCTTCTTCTTCTTCTTCTTCTTCCTCCTCCTCCTTTTTCTTTTCCTTCTTCTTATCCTCCATCTTCTTTTCCTTCTTCTTTCCTTCCTCTAAGGTACATGTCTTATTCTTCTAATTATTCTTTTTCTTCTTCCTTTCCTTCTTCTTTCTTTGTTTTCTTCTTCGCCTTATTTATTTTTCTTTCCTTTTCATCTAATGTAAATGTCTTCTTCTTCTTCTTTTTCTTTATCTTTATCTTCTTCTTCTTCTTCCTTAATTTACTTTCCTTTCCTTTTCATCTAATGTACATTTCTTCTTCTTCTTCTTCTTCTTCTTCTTCTTCTTCTTTAATCGTCTCTTCCTTTTGATTAGAAGCTCGATAAAAGATGAAAGGACCCCCGTAATTTGAGTGGACAGTTTGAAAGAAAATCTCGGTAATCGTTGGTGACAGGCAGACATTTATTTACCGCGGCTAGATCTAAATATATTTATTTTGTCTTATTCACGGCCAAGTTATCTGCCCTCGGCCTCTGACTACCACCCCATAGCTGAGCAGTGGTTGCAATGCGGTGGGCGGTGGGTATGCTATATCTGTGCTGGACGGCGTGAACGAGCGGGAGGTCTGGTGTGGACTCAGTGAAAGCACCCGGGTAGATGAAAGGTGGGTCGGTAGAAAAAGTAGCAGTGGGTCGTCGTGATTTGAGAGCGTCGCTTGAGAAGAAAAAGGGCGGATAATTTGGAGAAGGGAGAAAAAAAAAAGGAATAGTCGAGTGAGATAAACAAAAACGGCGCAGAAATTCTCAGATGAAAGGCGTTTGTGATAAGAGATATGTGAAAAGATAAAATTATTAAAATAATTTAAAAAGATCGAACAGTTTTATTGATCGTCATCTATCAAGGCTGAGAATGGATATAGCAGCCATTTCGCTACCAGTACAGGCATTCAGAAATATATATGAGAATGTGCTCGTTATTAATATGACTTAGCTGAGTACAGCGAATGCGAAGAATGTCAAGGACAGAGCAAGAGGATCTAATAAGGTACATAGGAACATATAAAATCTGATACTATCAGAAAGAGAACCGATATCCGAAGGCCCATAGGAAAAACGAAAGATGCCTTTCAGAAAATAAGTAAAGTATCAACACATTAGCTTCCAAGCCTTATTTCCCTTATTGCCCCAGTGTCACCATCCTACTAAATGGCGCAGCCACTCAAATCCAAGGATGCCAGTCTACAAGGGCGATTAGCTAATCCCCATGGATTTATACTGCAACTACGCTGAACAAAGCTAGCACGTTCAAATCCTAGGTCACGATGACTTGTAACCCTTAACCTCAATTTCATGCACAAGGCTTGGTTCAACCCGTGGTACGTTTTTCAGACACTTTTCACTGCTGACATACCTCCTGCAGACTGATAACAAATCTAACAAATTGACCATGGTGTGATTCGAACCCGGGTCTCATGGTCAGAAATTGAGCATTCTAACCACTCGGCCACTGTCCCAACTAATTTTGGTACAAACAACCTTATGTTTTAACATTGTTTCATCTATGAAGCAATGATATGATAGGCAGTATTTATTACCCACGACCCACCAGTATGTCGTTCGGTACCTGAGTTCATTTTAGAACCCAGAGTCCCACACGAGCCACCCGAGATTTGTTGCAAACTTACCCAAATGCAATATATTGATACGAGCTCTCATTTTCTGTAAAAAAAATATTTAAAATTTTGATAAAAAATGTGGTTCGTGTGTACCATGATCTCCTAGGTAATCCCATTTCTAATAATCCTCACAGAAAATAAAAAAAAAAGAACCAACCAGAGGTCGTGTGAGCTTTGTAGACATACAATCACGGCCCTAAGGTGGATCCCATTGGAGCCAATGTGTTACAGGAAAATGTCATTTTTGTCTGTTTATTTTTTTCTTTATTTTCATTTTTAAAGGCCTGCTTAAATAAATGGTTGAGTCTAACAACGCAAAAGGTATATTTTCTTCTTTATTTTCATCGGCCTTAAAATTTGGGGCGGCCTTAATATTTTGGGCCAGCATTGTGAGTTTGTGCTGAAAAAATTTGAGCCAGGTCATCTTATAAAATTTCTGTCTTTCTCAGACTGATAAGTTTGTCAGTACCTACCCAAAGAATACAGAGTTGTATGACGTCTTATATGACATTGAATGCTAGACAGTCTCCACACAGATGTAGAAGAGACTATTTATATATATATATATATATATATATATATATATATATATATATATATATATATATATATAAGGGCTCAAACACGAATATTCTATGGTTATAATTTATTACATTGGAATCAGGATTCGATTCAAATCATCAGACCTACAAATTAAAACAAAAGAAGCTTTTATGGAATTTGTAGGTCTGATGATTTGGATCGTGATTACAATTTCAATGTAATAAATTATAACCATGGAATATTAGTGTCTGAGCCTTTTATATTATATTCTTACTCTGTCCTGAACATTGAGTTCTACCTGGATTCTATCCTTTTAGGAATTTATATATATATATATATATATATATATATATATTGACCACTAATATTATCTATCTCTCTCTCTATATATATATATATACATATATATATATATATATATATATATATATATATATATATATATATATCGTTGCTATTTTGTCTTTCTTCATCATTTGTCTCATTGTCACCTGCTGTTACTAATACCCAGTGACGTGAAGATATGAAGTCGACAGTTACTTTTCTTGTGTACTTGATTTATTAAACGCAACCAGAAATCCAAAACTTATTATTAAAAAAAGCTACGAAGCTATGAGGAAGAAGCAGCTGAAGTTTCTGGGTCACATAAAGAGGAAGGAGTGCCCGGAGAATCTAATACTCATCGGTCGGATAGAGGGAAAGAGATACAAGGGAAAACAATGCGTGACATACCTGGCGGTCTTAAGCAAGTGGATAACGGAATGTGGTCTGGGGGAGGAAGCAGAGGGAAGGAACTTGTTGAGAGCTGCAAGGGATAGAGGGAGGTGGAGAGCCATGATCCCCTACGTCCTGAAATGACATGGCATATAAAAAGAAAAAGGAGCTAACTGAACACGCCAAAATAGTTTAAAAATGAGTGATACTTAGTAAGTTGTCTTAAAGTTTCCAATAAAATACTTGGGAATTAAAACAATACTGGTGAAAAAAATGACAACATAAAAGACATGCAGTTCGTCCTTTTGGGAGATGTTTCGATGTTTATTTCCATCAACTGCAGCAGAAGAGAGAGCAAATATTATTTATTTTATTTTTCTCTTGTTTCCCATTGAAAATAACCTCTTTAAAAATACTCACGGCTGGAAAAGATTCTTTCTTATCCCTAGAATATGAACATGTCTTTTTTTTTCCAGAAAGGAATATTTCAAAATGGCTTCAGGCTTAATTCGAAGTGAAGATTTTAGCGATAGCAAATGATGTTCTGTAATTTCTATTAGTACCTGTTTTCCTCTGTACAGAAACGATTACTGCAATTTTCGTAGTAAAGCTAAAGCAAGATTTGGAAAGGTTAGACATGCGGAGAAATTATAAAACCTTGTCTAGTCAACATATATTTTTGCAGGTAAGGATATAAAAAAATGTTTGTACTATATATATATATATATATATATATATATATATATATATATATATATATATATATATATATAATATTTTTTAAATGCCTTGAATTTTCAGAACGGAGATGACCATGTCACTCTACAGAGACCCTATATATTATCACCAGTGAAGTGGCATGACTTATTGGGAAAAGATTGTGTATGTAAAAACAGTGTGGACGTTGAAATCAAGACTGCACGATACTTGCCAGTTCTAAGCATCAAATGATCTTCAGAACATTTCACAGTCACCATGCATTATTGATTTTTATATACAATGGATACGTATATATATGACACACTCATATCCTCTCTCCTACCTCACTTCCTCACTTCGTTAACTTTACGTATACTTGATGAGGTCCGTAAAAAACGTGTGAATTTCTTTTCATTTTTCATTTCAGCTTTTGGAAGTAAAGTCTGATGATCCAGAACCCTGTTAAAGGGATTATGGTGAAATAGCTTATTACATGGAATCTTAACGTGGTCTGTCTTTTTATTCAATATATATATATATATATATATATATATATATATATATATATATATATATATATATATATATATATATTTTATATAAATATAATTATTTTTAAAATATGTATTCATCGCGACACAGAAATTACCATGTTTCGAAACCAAAACCTAAATCTTAAACGTAAAATCTGAAGTTATATTCCAATTTCAAGCGATACGTAATAATAATAATAATAATAATAATAAGAAGAAGAAGAAGAAGAAGAAGAAGATGGAGAGCAGAAGAAGAAGAAGAAGAAGAGAAGGAAGATGGAGAGCAGAAGAAGAAGAAGAAGAAGAGAAAGAAGATGGAGAGCAGAAGAAGAAGAAGAAGAAGAGAAAGAAGATGGAGAGCAGAAGAAGATGAAGAAGAAAAAGAAACTGAAGAAGAGGAAGATGAAGAATACAGAGTTAATGCCGAACTTATTATTAGAAAAAGAAGTGGAAACTGGGAGATAAGCGAACTTTTCTACATCTACTAATGAAAAAAAGTAGTAAACAAAATGTCTGTGTTCGAATTTAAAATAGACATTAGATGTAACCTGAAACCCAATCTTAAACAAGAAACAAGGTATAAAGCTTTAATCCTGTTCAAAAGACTAGGGAGGAGTATAAACCGGACGATGGGCGAACCTATCTACTCCTATTGATGAAAAAAATATAAATAAATAGTAAATAACATTTCAAAGTTTAGACAAAGACTTTACATGTATAGAGCTATAATCTTTAGAAGGAACCGGAAATCCAATCCTAAACAGGAAACAGGGGATAAACATCTACTCCTGTTCAAAAGGCCGTGGAGGAGTGTGAACCGGAAGATAGGAAAACCTATCTATTCATATTGGGGAGAGAAGAATATAAAGTAAAAAAGTTCCATATTATAGCGTTGCTGCAGACGTCCATTTATAGATGCCGATCGACATTTGTCAAAACCCCGTATATACGAGCTAAATCAGGTAATTATTCAGATACTGAAACTCAGCCTTGAGCACTAACATCTTAGTATTCCCCAGATTACATCCGTCGGCAGAATCCTATTTCAAGATCACCGCTAATTGAATTGTCATAGTCTCTAAAATCAAACTTTCAAATATTCTGCCTCCCTATGTTGTTTCATCGGTGACTGAGAAACCCGATAGGAGAGTTCCTGTTTCGGCATACGCAGTAAATCCTTTGCTGGTTGGTTGCCAAGTTACATCTAGTCCGAACAACCACCAACCGGTTCTCAAGATGTTCGAACTTGCTGGATGCGTTTTGGACAGACCTTGTACGCAGGCGTGCTTGACGGGATTTTTATTTTTTTTATAAGTTCTTTTGCATCAATTATAGAGATAAATTCGCAATCCTACTCGACAGCTTTTCAAAAACTCGTAGATATACAGGAGAACATACATGTCAGAATAGAAACCCACCTCTATTGATTACGATTCTCGAATCGAATGGGAAACACGTTTCTGTTGAATTTATGACAGGATACGAAAATCAGTCGCATCGCTGGCTGATAATGACGGCGAAATAGGGAAATAAAATCCGCTTTGACAGATGGAGGAAAAATATGTCCGTTTTGTCTTTTCCGATGTCTGAAACCGGCTTAATATTTTAGCAGTAGAAGACAAATAATAACGCAATGTCTCCAGTGACAAGTCCGCAATTTTGACAAAATGTTTCCTTCAAATCTTAATTCTTAACCAATCTGCAAAAATGGCGAATCTTCGTGAAATGTTACTCTTTCCTCTAAACATTAATCATCTCTGTATAGTGCTCCCAAAAGTATATTAATCACTGTAAAACGAGTTTTCTTTCATCTAAATATGAACTCAGTAAGCTTGTCTCCAAAGAGACTTACACTGCACTCTTAATTCTTATGTCCCATGCATGCAATGTTGCATCTAAAAGAAGTTATTTTTATTAACTAATTGGTTTTTATTGGGTTTTTTTCTTTATTTTTACGGTAACCTATTGCGGGAAAATCTTCTACCTAGTTAGTCATATATTGAAAAAATTCGCCCAAAAAGTGTATCATGTATGACACTTGACTGATCATTTAAGAGGACCGGTATCGTAACGGCTATCGGTACAGAATTGACACGCCGTGCTCAGATCCCTCATATTTAACTCGTAAGAGATGGTTCCAGGACAGTTGCTTACGAGACAATTGCGTCCCTGGATAACTGCGTACTTCTGATAATTTTTTGAAGCTTTTAAAGGCAATTATCATAAATGTCCAGGTACACAATTGTCGGGTACGCAATTGCCCGGGACACAAATGTCCGTCCAACCATAAAGAGATATACATTTTAACATGAATTTATTCTCTAACTAAATCAAAAATTAGTAACTCTAGTCTTAATCGTTATCATAGAAGGACTGAGTGGGAAATCTCTTTTCCTGTGTTTCCAATATTAATTCGCATTTATCCGGGTCTAAAGTCTGATTCTGTAAAACTATGATTTTTCTTTGACAAGCACTACTTGTATATACTGAGCTGTCACGTAGTAACAAAATGCATTGTTTTCCCTTTTTAATAGCTGCAGTTGGTAAGCCAGGCTCGGATCCAAAACCCAGTGGTTGGTACAAAGTCTACATGCTTTATTATGCTTTAAATAGAATAATTTCCTGTTTTCATGTTTTAATAATAGGGGTATAATTTTTAATTAAAATCCTAACCTGACCAATATATGTCGCTCTATAAATTCACTATGATTTTTTCCGAATGTGACTTTTATTCGACATTATGTAACTAGTCCTGTATATGACGATTAACTACATACGGCAGCAAGGTCTCTGATCGGTAGATTGGATGTTTTGAGGAGCGTGGAACCAACTCTTAATTGCTGTTTTTTCAGGGTCCATCTTGACTCACGGTGGTAACAGCTGTTAAGGTCACTTTTATGGGCAATTACTGAACCCCTAACAATATCAAAAGATTATTAGAGTATAAAAATACATTTTTATCGTAAAAATACCAGAAATTCATTTTTATATAAAAAAATTACCAACAATACATTTTATAGCAGAATGATCAACAATACATTTTATCTGTAGTTGCGTTCAAAATATATTTAGTTGAAGTCATAAAATTGTGTTTAAATTATTTAGATTTCAACAGTAAATAACCATTGAGGTTGATATGTATTGTCGGTACCTACCTACAAATGGATTCTCCCACACTTATATAATATGGCTACCAACTCTGAGTAAACGGAGTCACCAAGTGAGGGTCACCAAGTTGTAGCCATAGAGTGAGTGAATGAGTGAGTCAGGACACCAGTGAGAGAAAGTACTCTCCAGTCCACATTTACCTTTGTACTACGTTTCCGAGAATATACTATTTAACCTTATATCCGAGTCCGTGATATCTTTCTATGGTTCTACACCATAACAATATGCAACCAAAGAAAGTCAGGCAAGCAAACAACTAATATGAAAGAACTCTTTCATGACAATATTGCATATAATATCCTACAATTTCTTTAAGAAAGCCTGTATTCCAAAATATAACTTCAACACAACTACTAAATAAAACACACAAATCATCGCCTCTGCTAATTATGTCCACACAAACATGTATAAGCACAAAATCAGAGTATTATTTACCATGTATTCAATTGTGAAAGTAGAATAACATATATAATATTTTATTACTTCATATCACCGTTAAAATTAAATTTCGGCAATTAAATGACCCATAAGGTGTTGATATTCCGTTAAACAAACAAATCATATTATTAAGTAATATAACGGCAGTGTTGTTGGGTTATCAACAAAATATTTTTTGTTTCTGCTTGAAATGATTTCTTGAGAATTTTAATTACGAATATCTGCCATCACCGTCACCAACTTAGTTGCGGAAGAGGTTTTTTAATCATTTCGCCCTAAGCAAGGCGATAAAGCCACTAAGACGCAAAGAGGTAATGATAGTAAAATGAGGCCAATAAAAGAACAGAGTTCAGGGAGACATAAAAAGAAAATTGCCATTGTATTTAAATTTCGGAGATCAAAGTTGACTGGAATGCAAAAAGCCCGAAAAGAGTTTCCCAAGCAAGAAATTGTGAAAGAAACTGTTAACAGAGAAGTTACGGTCACATTTAGCCGTTTCTACTTTTAAATGATGAAATCTAGCTGGTACTTTAGCAGTGCGCTGAAAGTCGTAAAGTTATGACAGAACAGGCACTGGGAGAGATAGTAAGGGGCTAGCTTTATATTTGAACTTCATTACATAGGTGACGCTCTTTATTATTTGTAGATTACGATGCACTCATTCTTGCCGCTATGAGTAAATAGCAGGATAGACTTTGTTCTATAGCCTTGGGTGGCAACCAGTGTAGGAGAAGGAAAATCTCTGAATTCAAAACCTCCAACAGTATGTAAATAGTAGAGATCTCTGGGCTCTGTAGCCATGGTTGACAACCAGTCCAGGAGAAGAACCACACTGAATTCACCGTAGTCTCGAAGACAGTTCGATGTCATGTTCAATTTCGTTCTGGTAGCCCCTGTAACGACGCCAATGGTAAGCTGTATTCGTCTCCGCCTTTTTCTTAGACGACAACCGAGGCGTGAAGAGTGGTGACGAGCTGCACGGGGAACTGCTGATTTCTCATTAAAAAAAAGATACCTGCCGAGGTTTGCGCACTGGAGGGGGCATAACTTTTTGTGTGCAGATTCAGGATCTCTCGAGACTGACGGACGTCATACAATACAATGAATTCTTGCATGTAATACTCGCGTGGATGGCGTAATGGATATCGACTCGGGATGAGCAGTCGGGGTGCCGGGTTCGTTACATTCACTTACAGGCAAAAACACCGGGTCCTTATACCCATGGTTGGTAACCGGTCTCCCGCAGAAAGAAACGGCAGCATCCTGCAAGAAAACCTTCTACCTAATCAGTCATGAATCGAAAGTGACATGGTCGCCCAAGTGTGTATTACGTATGGCACTTGACATGTGTCCATACCCTACCGTCCCGACAGATTCGAGAAACAAGCAATCAACCCCTTGTGTTTCGTTCGACTTTGTTTTAAAGATGGCTTATCATGTCGGTGTTGACTGAAGGTGCCAAGGTTGGAATATGCCCACAAAGGGATGAAGTTAGGGAAATATTCACTTGGACACACCCAAGATAACAACAACCCATCTTTGGCGGGAGGTGGGGGTAGGGAGAATCCACCTTTATTTTTCCAACACCAGTTCTGGTAGGGTTGCGCTACATATAACACTGTGGCTCAACGTGGCAACCGACCAACACTTTGCACCAGCCTGTCGACACTTTCTGCACAAACGAAAAACGCCCACTTCTACAAGTTTTCTGTAATATATCGAGTCACACTACCTAGAAAATGGAACATCTGATTTTAGTAGAATTTGCAGACTTGTAGATTAAAATAGACAAGAGTGTTATTGACTTAAATCTACTTAAATTAAGTAGGTGACCTAAGGACAATAGTGTCATTATCATTTTTTTTTCTCATTTTGAGTAGATGACCTCATTACTTCAGACAATGGGTCTCATCCCAGCCAGCCGCACAGTGTTACACACTGACTGATGCCTTCTTTGGAAAGACGGTGGAGTTTTTTCCTGTTAGCTTCTCCATTTTTTTAATTCAGAGTTTTCTTGCTTTTAGTCCAGCGTTTCTCAACTGATGCGCTAGGGCATACTAATGCGCCCCGAAAGGTGGCTAGGTGTGACCCAAGTTAACAGAAGCGTAATCTATGAATTATTTTTATATTTAAAAAAAATCTTTATTTTTTTATACACTAGAGACACCGTTCAATGTAACGTCTTAAAAATAAATTCTTATTTCAGAGAAATTCATTATTATTTTATATTTTTAAATTTTAACGACCTATTTTGCCTTATTAAAATTTAAAGTGTGCCCTAGAATTTTAGTTAGTCTACAAGTGCGCCCTGAAGTTAAAAAAAAAAAAAGTTGGGAAACACTGTTTTAGACAAGCGAGAGCTTAGTCTACACTACAGTGCAACATAGAGCTGATGTGGTGAAGAGATGAATTCCTGTCCACCTGGTTAGGCTACTTAATATCATGGCAGCCATTTCTGTTAATCTATTGATACAAATGAAACGAGATAACGTTCCTTCTAGCTGAAGAGCAAAGAACGGTGGTAACTTCACTGTTGAAAACATTTACATAAATAAATGATATCAGAGACCAGCATCAGTCATGTCGGCCTCGATTTATACACTAGAATTACTAAGATCAGTCAATTCGCTCTTAAAATGCGTGACGCGATGGGATATGAATATTGATTATTAAGCCAAAATTAATAAAGGAACCCTCAATTTGACACACGCATTTGCAATTACATTGGTTTACACGCGCTCAGATTCGGGGCGACAAGCAAATAAATGCACATGTATGAACGCTGACATATAAACTTACTTTACACTTTAAAACTACCACACACAATGGACTTTAAATCTTTTACGCACTCCTTACTCTCCAAATTCAACATTAACACGAAAATACGGGATACCGGCGTTTTGATCCTGTTCGCTTATAAACACGCACACAGATCATCAGACACGCACGTTTGTCAAAAGCAAGGTGGTGGGGTAGGGAGATGCCTTCCCAGGCTTCCATTGTCCATTCTGTTCTGTAATAATCACTAGAGAGTGGCTAATTGGAAACGATGAACCAGAAGGGAAAATTCAGCAGTGTCCTATCTAATTTGTGAGTGGTTAGTTAAATCCCGATATGCTTCCATATTTTCTACGCTGGCGATTGAGGCAACAAAGAACTAAAACAATTCTTTGCCGATATGACGGCTTCTTCGTCGATCAGGGCACGCACTGGCCTACGGAGGCGACGCCGGGCGTGCTAAGCCGAGCGTACAGGAGACGTCCTACTGGGGTTAATTCTGTCTAAACGCATTTGCCGTGATAGGTGAATTGAGCGAGTGCTGAGAGAAGGTGGCCTGGAGAGAAAGAGATTCGAGTGTGAGAGAGAAAGGAAATTGGAGAATGTGGCTTAGAGAGAAAGGAAATTAGGGAATGTGGCTTGGAGCGAAAGAAGTGAAGGGGAGAAATGCAAGAAGGGAAAGGAAAGAAATAGGTAGATGGAGAGAGAAGGAATACTAAAAAAGAAAAAGAGAGTATAGAACGATGAGAAGGAAAAGAAAGAAAGAGAGATAGAGAGTAAATAAATGTTTATGCTAATGTCAGTTTTAGCGAACGGAACTGACTGGCTCTTTCTGCAAGACTTGTCATTCTTCAATGCCAAAGAATGCGGTTACCGTTTTCACATCAAAGATGAAACATGAGGTTATAATAGAAGCATAGTTACACTCGATTACAAAATTATCGATCATTAACACAAGCGGAAAAGGCAGTCTGTTAAAAGCAGTCCGAAGGTAACGAAAGTATAAAAGATGACTGTACTTAAGTTTGAACCGTCACATATCTGCCAGAGTTCAGTGTTCGAATCCTAATAGGAAAACAGGACATTAACTACATTTTCTTGATAATTATATATTCGTAAGAAAAATGACGCAACACTATCTTCCTCCCTTCATTTTTCCTTGTCCGTGATAAAGAACGCTGAGTATTGGATAGTCAAGTTTATTCAGTTATTGCCGTCAATAAGGTACCTCGAGGTGGTGTTATGGTTAGCAAGCTTGTCTCGCTAGAACAATTACGACTGAGTAGTGAGTTCGATCCTCACTGAGTGCCCCATACTTTCGGCCTTGTGCCACATCTAAGTTCGGCTTGAAAAATCACTTCGGCGTTGAGCTATGGTTACCAAGCTTGTCTCACTAGAACAATTACGACTGAGTAGTGAGTTCGATCCTCACTGGGTGCCTCTTACTTTCGGCCTTGTGCCACATACAAGCTACGCTTGAAAAATCTCTATTGTAGTCAGATGGAGTAAGTAGCGTTCAGTTTTTGATGAAGAAACAGGAAAATGTTCTAAGCAGTAATGTAAACGTTACTAAACTGTTATGTAATCAGTCAGTGCAGGAAAAATTTCCCCAGAAGTAAACAAAAAACAGGAGGTAAAAGAAAAGTCGTTCTACAGAAGAGATATCTAAATTAATATTTTATACGTTAATATAATCTTTTTGATATTATTTATATTATATTTAGCGTTTATCTTATATAGATTACTATTATCATTATTAAGCAATTAATAGCATTTCTAATAAATGCATTAATTATGTAAGAATTACATTTCGGATGCGATAATGAAATATAGAATTCAAAATGTCCCAATATGCGACGTTTATTTCTTCAATAGGAAAATTGAACCTTTCTTTTTTTTTTTGTATTGGCTTCTAATAACATTAATCCACACTTGGCTTGACGATGACTTAAAAAAGGAATACATGCTGTATTCTTGTGGAGGGAAACATTTTTTTAGTAAGATCTTCGATTTCTCGGCCTGTAGATATGTGTTTTAATATTTAGAAATATGTGTGTGGGAGGCATATCAACGCTTCAGAATTCTTGAGACATTCTGTTGAATTCACGTCGTTTTCTACATATATTCAAAACCCAGACAAAAGCAATCCATCACAAAAAGACAAAAAGTTTATTCAGTAATTGTCGTCAGATGGAGTTAGTAGAGTTTAGTTTTTGACGAAGAAACAGGAAACTGTTCTGTGCAATAATGTAAACATTACTAAACTGTTATTTAATCAGTCAATTCAGCGAGTGCAGGAAAAATTTCCCAGAAGGAAACAGAAAGCAGGAGGTAAAAGAAAAGTCGTTCTACGGGAAAGATATCTAAATTAATATTTTATACGGTAATTTAACCTCTTTGACATTATTTATATTGCTGAGTTCCAATTCCAGTCGGGTTCCTTAGCTTCACTTACACAAAAATACCCTTGGGAAAGGTATGAAGCCACATCTTCTCCTCTTATTTAAGGGTTATTGAGTAGGACTTGTATCAGAGAATCATTATTATCTCCAAAGAAATTCTTATAGTCTAAAAATATTTTATGGCTTCAAATAACCTGAAACCCCACCCACAAAAAAAAAATGGGTTGCTAAACCGTGAAAAAAAAGAAATCAATCTATCAAGTTTTTACAATATCTTCTTTCTCTTAGAAAGTAAAACAAAATATTGGGTTGGTGCATAATTATCAGGCGTTTTTAAATAATATTTATTATGAACAAAAAAGTAACATAATTCAACAATAACATTTTTGAATGATTATTCCGGATTATCAACACGCATTATTATAACGTGAAAATAAAGTATTTTTATTAAAAAAAAAACGTAAACAAAACAGCAGTTTTTATTAACATAACTCGCCTATAAAAACGCCTGATAATTATGCACCAACCTAATATATCAATTACTTTTCTATTACACATGTTTATTCACGACTCTACCTTTACAAGAGCCAGATCAAGCCGGAAATGGAGTACTGCTGCCATATATGAACGGGAGCTGCCCGTCTTCACTTTCCACTCTCGATAGAACCCAAAATCATCTCCGCGTTCTTGTAGGCGATGAATTATTTTCACCTTTGCAGTCTTTTCAACTTACAGATGCCACAAGCCTTTCACTGCTCTATCGCTATTTCCATGGGGATTCTTCAGATGAACTAAACTCCTTAGTTTCACCAATTCTTACATTCACGGCTAAGACTCGTCATTTTAGTTGGAACCGTCACATATCTGCCAGAGTTCGGTGTTCGAATGCCGATAGGGAAACAAGACTTTAACTTTTCTTTTCTTTCTATATGTCGTGTCCTTTCAGGATGTTGGTGATCATGGCTCTCCACCTCCCTCTATCTCTTGCAGCTCTCAACAAGTTCCTTCCATCTGACACCCCCCCACGGAACATGTTAACTACTGTTTTATTGAAGTATTGGGTTGGTGCATAATTATCAGGCATTTTTCAATAATATTTGTTATGAAAAAATAAACATATCAATTCAACAATAACATTTTTAAATGATTATCCCGGAGCGTAACGGGAAAATAAAATAATATTTTTATTAAAAAAGTAAACAAACCAGCAGTTTTTATTAACAAATAACTCGCCTATAAAAACACCTGATAATTATACACCAGACCGATAGACAATTATACATAAGTAAGGAAAATAATGCAGCATAATCATCCTCTCTACATTTTTCATTCCTTTCATATCCCACCATAAGGATCTTCTTTCTACGAATCGCTACTTTGTGGAATTCACTCCGAAGAGGCTGCTTTCTCGATCGCTACAATCCTAAGTCCGAGATTAACCATTATTTTCCGCACATATTTGCATATGCTGTGTCCTTTACTCTGTAAAAACTCTACATCGAGTGGACCCAGAGCCTTGTACAGGGTGAACAAAAAACAAAAAAACAAAAAAATAACTACATAATAAAAACCCACACCACAAGTTTTTGATTGCAACAAGAAATATATTATTTACACTTTACATTTGGACTATTGTCCTCATCTTTGTTGTTGTTATCACAACCTTTCGTCTGTTGAACCCTCATCAAATTTATAACGGTCCGGGTAACATACAAGGAACTCAGAACGCAATATTCCCCCCGTCCCGATTATTAAGACCTCTCCTGATTATTAAGACGTAGGTTAAGGGTATGTATATCCTCAAAGTTTTAACAATATCTGTTAGTTAATAAAACTGATAATATTGCCAAAGCATTGACTTGACTAGTATAATAAAATCTGATATCGTGTCTTAGTCATTCGACATAAATTCCAATTTACAGAAAACATCTAAAATAATTTCATCAAATCAACGATGTCAGGCAATGAAGTAATCATTGAAGTCATTTTGCCTTTAAAAGTACATCTGGATTTAATACACATTAACCTCTTTTAGGATGGTGAATGTACACTGGAAAAATCCCAAGTCAATGACCCACATTCCGTAGCCATTGGCGACAAGCTTTTGGATATTTAATGCGAGTTAAACATGCAATTATTTTTATGCCAGCACGATATTGTTTGCTTCATAAACACATCTTCCTATTGATTTTAAAAAGTGATTCCATTCGATGCATCACTCATCTTGCGTATTTGAAAGCGTTTATATCAACAAAGAACAACTGAAATTTAATAATCGCAGTCCTTTTTATGACATTACTTGCTATATTTCAGAGAAACCCTGGACTTTAACCCATCATGATAGATGAGTCTTCTTTCAAGGAGGCTCCAGGCCTTCAATATATCACGTTGAAAAACCGGTTCTTGTAGGATCAACGAAGTTAAGCAACGTCAAGTCTGGTCAGTACCTACACTAGAGTTCAAAAGTTTGAAGCAAACCCCAGAATTAGCATGGGGGTGAATTTGATAGAAGAGTTAAAAAAAAAAAAAAGAAAGAAAAAGAGATCTTAGAGTCATTGAAAATAGAAGGGAATCAATTTTCACACTTTTGGGGGGGGGACTTTTGCAACGAATACCAAAAGATTGTGCTGCAGTATTCAAGGCTAATGGAGGATATTTTGACGAGAGCAAAATTTAATCATAAAATGCTTTTATTCTATTTTCGTCATAATCAAATTTCTAATAAAAAAAAACGTCTCACTTCTTTTTTTAACCGTGTATAATAATTTTCTCTTACTTAAACTAACAAAACAACTACATTTTATGCCAATTTAAACAAATTGCCAGGGTTATCCTCAAACTTTTGAACTCTAGTATAGATAGGTGACCGCTGGAGAATAACTGATTCTGTAAGTTTGGGTGGCGTAGTGGATCACAGCTTGGAATTGGAAATTGGATAGTCGAGTTCGTTATATTTGCTTTTGTTCAAATATCATTGGGAAAGGGGTAAATCCACCTCTTCTCCCACCAGATGTGGGTTAATTTGTAATAATCATAAAATTTAAAACTATTTTCTAGATTTAAATAATCTGCAAAAGGTTGATAAAACATAAAAGAATGAATAAATCAAATCAGAAAGGTTCCTTGTTTTGAACATATATTGGAGATCAAGCTTTCCCAAATAGAACTCATAGACACGATGTATTGCTAAGAGTAAAGGGATATTGATAAGGATACTGTATAATATTATTATACTGTTCATACTATATAACATATTGATAAGGATATTGATATGGTTAAGTATACTGGGATATTGATAAAGGTACTATATAAT